TTTATCATTCTCTTTAGGTGGGTTATCCACTGTGGAAGAAGAGAGTTCAATTTTCAGGCAATAACTTCCTTTTTGTATTTGATTAGTCTTGATCCGTCACGGCACAGTTCTTGGCTATAAGTATGAAAATGTGGAAATATTACCACGAGTGCTATCAATCACCTTAATAAACTGCAATAAGTAATCATTGGTTCATCGTAAGCTGTATTAATTGTTGAAATATCTTCTCAATTAAATTTCCTTATTTAATTTAGAACCTTCGTCTTTTGTGTCTTCTCCTTCTCGGACACTTTTTGAAATTCATCTTGTTACCCTGTCAAATTCGGTCAACGACAATTAACCCGATTCCACGACCGAACCCAGAAGTGAATCCTTCTTCTTTCTTCCTGCCAGATTTATTCCCACTTCAAGGTGTATAACGAAATCTTGGAATAATATAAATTGCTCTATCGCATAACCAGGTTGATTAATTGTTTCTGTCCAACCAGCAGTTGTTAGTAAGTCAATCGATACGCACAATGTGCCATTCATTGGCTGAATCCAAAATCAACAGTTGATTAAAATTTCGCTTCTTATTAAAGATAAAGTCAATCATTTAATTGATATTTTCAATTTCTTTAAAAAGTTTAGATTTTAATAAAAAAGCAAATTAGAATAAAACATCAAATAGAGAAATAATTAAGAATACGAGTTAGCACAAGAAGGAGCTTGTAAAGTTTATTTATTTCAAATGACAGGCATTTTGATAGATATCATTAGCCCTTTAGCTGACTTCGGGCTTCTCAGAGAAGAGGATGAACATCGAAGTGGCAAAAAGTCGAGAGGGGGATCGAATAATGATTCACAGACGTAAAAGAGACAGACAGACAGACACAAAGGCTGAGAAAAGGTGAGGTGAGTACTGTGAAAGAAGTCGAATATGGCATACAGTGAGGTGGTGGTAGTTTGAAATCAGAAGTCAATTGCCGGTCAATAAACTAATTGCCCGTATGAGTTTACATTGCCCAGGGAGCACCACGTGGAGGTGCTCCTCAAACCTGCAAAGTAAATAACGATTCTAAATAATTCTCAAGAGAATACTTGGTCGTGATACTTAAATTCAACAAATGCCTTGATGACCGAAATCGACGAGTCTGATTGTTAAAATACAATGGTCATATGTTCGCCTTCTAAGGAATCCTGTTATTGCAATAAGCTTCAATGTGCGCGCGTTCGAATCGGGACAAAAGGCATGCGAAATCACATCAAAGCCAATTTCGTGCCAGCAAAGTGATAGGTTGGCAGAGATAATGGCTAGTAAAAGTCAGCTAAAATTCTTCACTATGTCATCGAAATCCCCGCGCATCGCTTACATAATCATTGTCTGTTTTTTGGGGTGTGCGATAGACTTACCTCTACGTGGTGCACCCTGGGCAACGTATACTCATATGGTAAAAAAGTCTATTAACCGGTAGCTGACTTCTGACTTCAAACTACCATCACCCCACTGTATCCCATATTCGACTACTTCAACAGTACTCATACCATCTTTTTTCTACCTTTGTGTCTGTGTCTTCAACATCTGCGAATCACTCTTCTGTTCCCCCTCTCGACGTTTGTCACTTTGATGTTCCTCCTCCTCCTCTCTGTGAAGCCCGAAGTCAACTTAAGGCCTAATGCTAACTATTACAACGCCTGCCATTTGAAGTAAATTAATAATCTGTATTTTTATTCCCACAACTCGAAGTGAAATTCTTACTCCTGTGGCCAGAGACCCTAGGGCTTATCTGCCGTATGAGTGGGAGACAATTTACCACAATTTAGCTTTAAATGAGCTCGTGACTACCCGTTCATCTCAAATCTAAGTGCGCGTTTCTTTTTGACTCAACTTTCTGCTGATACAAAGCCGCACACAACATGTTGCGTTCTTGAGTTCAAAAGATTGGCGGATAAATGTGAATGCGCCTGTTTAAAAGATTTTCGAGTGAAATTTTTAAGGAGAAATATGGGATCCTTCTTTTGGAAAACCTTTTATTCTAGATTATTTGCTCAAACCATTCTTTACTTACGATCTTTAGATTCCTTGTCCTTTAATAATTAAATTGAAGTATAAATCCAATTTTTGGAAACCTATTAAATATCAACTATTTATATTTTAAAATCTTATATTGCCAATAATTTCAGGCGGGGGTGTGCGATAGACCTACCTCCACGTGGTGCCTCCTGGGCAAAGCATGCTCCTACGGCAAAAAAGTCTATCAATGGGCGGTTGACTTCTGACTTCAAAATGCCATGATCCCACTGTATGCCATATTCGACTACTTCCACAGTACTCACCTCACCTTTTTTCTACCTTCGTCTTTGAAACACTCTTCTGTTCCCCCCCCCCCTCCTCTCGACTTTTTTCACTTTGATGTTGCTCCTCCCTTCTGTGAAGCCTGAAGTCAACTAAAGGGCTAATGATAACCATCAAAATGCCTGCCATTTGATATAAATAAATAAATAAATTGTTTCAGGAGTGACAGACGCTTTTTAACACAAGTCCTGAAACCACTTTCACAAGCGATTGTCCCATTACCGGTAAGAATTAAGAACAAAAAAAATGTTTTGGTTGTAAGCTATGAGGGAGTTTAGTAAATGTTTATTATATAATTAAAGACATTGATTACAGCTCAGAACACCAAACAATTGGACTCTTCTACGCAGATATCACTGCCCACTTCAACAAATGACTCAGACCTTAGTTCAAGCACGCAATTGCTGAGATCTAATGCAATTTGTCGTTATATTCAAACCTTCTGGCCAAATGCCCCATTTTTGTGGTTTAACAATTTTCACATTGATTCAATTATATTTTCTTGTTTGATAAATAGTGGAACAAACTTACGTAATTCGAATTTTGCTCTATTTTTTCTTAATTTATTTGTTTAAAGGCTTTGTCAAGGATGCAATTCAGTGCAATATATGTTAAATCTTCACGTTCAATAGAAATATTGTGCGCAAAATAGGTGAAGCTTTATAAAGAAAATCTCCAAATTGATCGATTTTTGATTAGAGATTTGGCCAAAAAATCAGTCATGACTTATGGTTCTTAGAGCGTTGAGTTCATTTGAGTTTCTAGCTTTGGACCCTAACCGGCTTTCAGGGGGTAATATTACATTCAATTTAAAGAGTCGTCCAATATTGTGATAACAGAAGAAAGGGGTGCATAAAAAATGAATTAGCTTTGAAGGATAAGCTAATGAGGCCAATCATGCATTGTGAGTTTCAGAGCTGCCAGTTCGGGCAATCTGGAAGGATTTAGCTTGCTAAAAAACTGCCTGTCTTTAGTTTCAAATAAGTTGGGGTGTGCAGCAGGCTTACCTCCACGTGTTGCACCCTGGGCAACGTATATTCATACGGCAAAAAAGTCTATTGACCGGCAGTTGACTTTCCACTTCAAACTACTATGACCTCACTAAACTGGCAGTTGACTTCTGACTTCAAATTGCCATCACCCCAAAACCGGCAGTTGACTTCTGACTTCAAACTACCATGACCCCCTGGGTAACGTATACTCATACGGCAAAATCTATTTGTGCGCCCTGGGCAACGTATACTCATATGGCAAAAAAGTCTATTACCTACGCCCTGGGCAACGTATACTCATACGGCAAAAAGTCTATTAATATGGCTATTGACTTCTGACTTCAAACTACCATCACCCCATTGTATGGCAGTGACTTCTGACCCCACTGTATGTCATATTCGACTACGGCAGTTGACTTTCCACTTCAAACTACTATGGCAACACTGTATGTCATATTCGACCACTTCCACAGTGCTCATCTTACCTTTGTCCCTACCTTTGTGTCCGTCTGTCTGCCTTTTATACATATTGGAATCATTATTCTGTTCACTTCTCGACTTTTTGTCACTTTGATGTTCCCCCTCCACTCTGTGAAGCCCGAAGTCGGCTAAGGTGTGTTAATATACGATTTGGACAATAGAACGACCAGCTTGTAAAGATTGCATTTATAGAGGACAAGGATTCTAAATAGGGAATTCCCCCAGTATTCCCTTTTTTCAAGGCTTCCAAGGAGGGGGGTGGAGAGGGTGGGGTCTCAAGCCGGTAGTTAAAATCTAATTTGTAAAACGATCAGCATGAATGATACAGATTTCAACAAATGGAATCGACTAGATCTCTAATGACCACCTCCTCCCTCCCCCAACTCATCTAATTTCCTTGTGTTTTGCTACTTGAGCACTTTGAGTGAGTGATTGCTACAAGCAAGACAAACGAGACATATTTTAAAAAAATATACTTTTAGTCTGCATTGGACTGTCAAGCTGCATTGAGCGGGTAAGGAGACCACTTGCAATATGGTGGAGAAGACCAGCTCAAGTAGTTAAGTTTAGTCAACTAGAAATGGAAAAAAAGACCACAAGTCTTCTTGAAGGCGTTGCCCGATTATTTAAAAGACCTCTGTCTGATGTTTATTTCAAATTAAGAATTAGAAAGAAACATTGGACCAATTTAAAAGCGCACTTTTATTTAATATATAATCGAAAAAGTTTGAGCGACCAGTGAGGAATAAAGTGTGTACAAATTTGAGGCAATTCATATCGAATGATCCTTTGTGTGAGTAATCACCAGATTGGTTGTTATATTCATCTTGAAGCATACCTTCGGTCTTCACCTCCTTACCATATTTCAAAGCAGATTAGTTGAACATAATCAAGAGACTTAGAGTATTCCAACTATGGACAGTGTTCTCCAAGACGCTAGAATTTCTTATGAATCGTCTTTTAAGACTTTGTTGTTCAGGTGGGTGGTGATGCAAACCAACCCATGTTTTGAGTCTCTTTGAGACTGTAGACACTGGGAAGTTACGTGTGGCTTAAGTTGGTTGAGTGTATACTCCTAATCCGTGAAGGTGCTTCGCCGGGCAATCGTGTCCGGTACATAGTCTAAACTCAGCAACGGCTCTGTCCGATACGTAGTCTAAACTCAGCAACGGCTTCGATTCTCGTAGTCGGCTATGTCGGAGAGTGCCACTGTCCACTGTTTCTCTGTTGTTCGAGCTTTGAGTTCGTTGAACCTTGAGGTCTGGAAAGCCGGGTATGTCGGAGAGTGCCACTGTCCACTATTTCTCCTAGCTATATCGAAGAGTGCCACTGTCCACTGTTTCTGATTCTTGGCCCAGCCGGGTATGTCGGAGAGTGCCACTGTCCACTATTTCTCCTCTATTCGGAGAGTGCCACTTGGTCTGGAATTCTCTCCTGATTAAGGCCTTCATTACATGAATTCTCTCCTGATTAAGGCCTTCATTGTGTGGACTGTCCGATACGTAGTCTAAACTCAGCAACGGCTTCGATTCTCGTAGTCGGCTATGTCGGAGAGTGCCACTGTCCACTGTTTCTCTTTTGTTGTTTAAGTTCGTTGCACCTTGAGATCTTGAATTCTCTTCTGATCGGGAGAGTGCCACTGTCCACTGTTTCCCCTTTGTTTCCACTGTCCACTGTTTCTCCTTTGTTCGAGCTTTGAGTTCGTTGGTATGGTCTGGAATTCTCTCCTGATTAAGGCCTTCATTGGAGGTCTGGAATTCTCTCCTGATTAAGGCCTCCATTGTGTCCTTGAATGTAATTCTCTCCTGATTAAGGCCATCATTGTGTGGAAAGACATTCTGGAATACTCTTCTGATTAAGGCCTTCATTGTGTGGAAAGACATCGGACGGTCCATGCATTGCAAAATCGTAGTCCCCCTCTTAGCAATGGTCTATGCCTTGTAAAATTGTTGTCCCCTGCTAGATTTTGCTGATGCACGATCTGCCTTTTCCCATGTAGATGGGAAGTACCAACTAAAACAGGTAGTGCTACTTTTCCCCCTGTTCAGAGTTGAAATCACCAGTAATACCTCAAGAGGATTGGAAGGGGGAGCAACTGAGAGAAAATTTTTTGGGCATTAATGATCAAAAAAGTCGAAAGTTTAAAGTAAACTTAAGTCTACTCGGCAACGCCAGTATGAGTCCGATAGACGCAGAGAGAGAGAAAATCATAAAAAAACGCAGAAGATGATTAGAGGAGGACGATGAAGGGTATGGAACTTGAACGCCTGCATCGATGGAGATGTAATCAAGATGTGGTTGGATTGAACGGGAGAAACGTGAGTTGCCTGCTAAAAGAAAAGTTAATTCAAATTGTTCATCACTATCCTCGGTAGGCATAATTTTGTACTTAAAACTATTTAAGTGAATATTGGTTGGAAAATTTTTAATAAACCTGATACTTAACTTTCGAACTCAAACAAACAAACCAACCAACAGACTTCTTTCAATTTTGTCGCCAAAGGACGTGTTGATTGCGATGGAGGTAATAGTTAAATTTTGACAACCACAGTGGCAAGTTTATTCTTGACTAAAAGTGCTTATGATGTCATTGTCAATAGGCATTCAAGCACCTTTCATTTAGCCTTATTAATCCAGTTGCATTTCACTTCAGGTTATTTAAAGCACAAGAGAGAGCTATAATTACATCCCCCTTACAAAAAAGGGATGAACGCTTAAGTGGATAAAAAGTGACCAATCACTGTCAATTGTTTTACTCAACTCAACTCAATTCATCACATCTTCATACAACCACGCCCATGAAGGCACTGTGTATTAACAAGACACACCAACCAGCCATCTTCCCCGCCTGCTCATCTCTTGAAGGAGGGAGGGGTGAGGGGGGGGAGGGGGAGGGGTGAGGGGGGGGGGTGAGGGGTGAGGGGGAGGGAGTGAGAGAGCGGAGGAGGAGGATATAATATGAAAGGTGGCGCCGTCGGGCCAATTACAAATAGTTCTTTACTACGCTTTAGGGAAATATGGTCCTTTCTTTTTTCTCTTCGCCTTCTTCTTCATCCTCACCCCACAAATTTAGCTCTTATGAATTCTTTCATGACGTTCCATGCAAATATAACGATTGGAAAATGATAGGACCCTTTACTTTAACAATATCTCTTAGAGGCAGTTAACTAATTGTTAGAATAATTAACAAAAACGTCTGGGTGAACTTTGACGTCAAAGAGCACACCGAAACCCGGTACTCTAAGGAATAGTTTATCTTGATTGGATGCTTCTGATCAGTTGATAGAAATTGCCTAATTTTTCTTTCAGTCTTCGCCCTTTAACTCAAACATTAGCTTGTTATTTGGAGATAGCCATTGTGAAAGCAAATATCAATGAAAGAAAACACGTGAGCAGATGAAATTTCAAACTAATGGGTTTTGAATCCTTTTTTAAATTTAAAATTCGCTCACATAGTTACTTGTGCACAACGTATTTTTTTAAAGCTTTGATATACTTATGAGAGTACAAATAATGATTGTTTGAAAATTTGCGGAAATGGAATAATAATCCGACGAATTGACAAAGCTTGAACTTATTTGTACTAAAAATGATAATAAATCTAAATGAAAAAGAATAAATTAAACATCGATTAGTTGCAAGTTCGAGGCGTTTCTAACGCCGTTTCAAGCATTTCCAGAAAAAAGTCACTGATCTTCAAGAATTGAAGGTTTTTAGAAAAATAAGAAAATTGAAACTAAAGGCAAAGCCTTAATTCCTTCATTAGAGAAATTTCCATTTGTATAATTTATTTATTTCAAATGGCAGGCGTTTTGATAGCTATCATTAGTCATTTAGCTGACTTCGGGCTTCACAGAGGGAAGGTTCATCAAAGTAGCAGAAGGTCGAGGGATGGGGAACAGAAGAGCGATTCACAGAAGTAAAAGAGGCAGACAGACACAAAGGTAGAGAAAAAGTAAGGTGAGTACTGTGGAAGGAGTCGAATATGACAACCAGGGGGGTCGTGGTAGTTTGAAGTGAGAAGTCAACTGCCGGTTAATAGACTTATTTGCCGTATGAGCATACGTTGTCCAGGGTGCACCACGTGGAGGTAAGTCTATCGCACACCCCCATTTGTATAATAAGTGAGCTCAAATGCCAAAAAACAGCAAGCCTCTTTTGAAATTTGAAAAGGCGAGTAGTGATTCGTTGTTTTAATCCTATGAAAGGTTGCAGTTAGAAAAAACAATACTTCCTGCAATACGCCAACAGATTTCATTAACTTTAGTTGTCTAAACGGTAAACTTATCTAATTTGCCATTCACATTCCTCATTATGGAGAATTAACCAATCCCAATCTCACAAGTATTAAGAACATGCAGAATTCTGAAAGAGGTGTCTCTCGCTTTGAGAAGGCAAGCGAGATAATATCAGAAAAAGCGGGGGTGGGGGGGGGGCAGGGGGGGGGGTGGAGGGGGG